ACATCTCCCGTCTCGCACCACACACCAAGACGGCCGTCACGTTGGCACATTTCACTTCTTTCTTTCAGAATGAGGCGAAAAGTATTAAAAGAGGGGAAAATCACTCCAAGTCGGGGCATGTTGAGAGCTGTACACACACAAGGTCAGTTCATAAGAGCCAGCATGCGGGAACGGCTTTACAAGGTTTCTGTGAGTAACACAAGTGTATTGTGTAACGTTAATGACATCACTTACGCGACTCTGGGATTTGTAGTCTTTCTAGTTGCGTATTTTTCATAGTCTTATATTTCAACTGTTTTACGACAAACTTTTTTGACATGGAAATTATTCTTGTAAGATTGACAAACATCATATGTGTAATTCGTGGCACAATTCAAATGGGATCGAAAGATAATCTTTCTCTCTCCATTGACTTCAATACAACATTTTTCAGAAATAAGGTCCCATGGTTCGGAAGTAGATGGGCGGGACTTCGCCTCTCTATAGCATTTCGTAAGCTCTTTAAAGATGTTCTGACCTGCAGTCGAGCCAGTATGGAGGTCTTCTTGGAGTTTGATGAATACGAACGTGAACAAGACAAACTGCAGAATCGCTTCGTCTTGGAGAAGAAGGTGTTAAAGTCGCCGGTGGTGCCGCACATCTCACACACCACTGGGAAGATAAATAAAAACATTGGGCATTAAACACCCTCAACTCTTTTCTACAGTCCCTTTGTATTATAGGGATGTTTTGTAGAGAATTTAAATCCTTCATTTAGACTGAATATTTCCATTTTTAGTTCCTCATTTACTCCTCACCTGTCTGTTCTTCACTTTTCTCTCCCGGCATCATCCCTCCGCTTGTTGGCTGTTCTTCGTCACTTTCTCCCGTGCTTTCATCAGACTGAATGGGCGCAATTTCAATATGTTCTCCCTGATTACAGATACAAAAAACGAAGTGGTAAATAGGAGGTGTAAATGTAAAATGGGGCCAAACCACCAATAAGCGCTACAACCCCAGTCCTGAATGAGTGTACTTTGGTCGTCTCTTTGTCAATTTGCAGTTATCTTTGTGAAGATGTTTGGTTCTTTTTTTGTTAATAATGGCTGTGTTTGCAGATATTTTGTTTTTATCTGGTTGATTGGTGAGTCTCCATGCAGTATTTTTTGGTCTCTTCGTAATAATTTGAAGTTGTTTTGTGTGTCTCTGGTTTTAACCACATTCAAAGTAGTTTGATGTTTGATGTCTCTTTGTACTAGTCTTATTTATTTTGGTACTCATTTTGTGTCTCTTTCTGGTTGTTTTCCCCTTTTCAGAGTCATTGTGAGTCTCCTGCACCTCTTTGCACTTGTTTTGGTCACTTTGGGTGTTTTTGTCTTTATTTTTTCGTAATTGAATTTAAATAAATGGTGGAAGGAGTTCCCCATTGATATCAGGAGAGCAGGAAGTCAACAGATATTCAATCGCAAACTAAAAACAAATTTAATTTAGCTTGTACCTTGGCTATTTAAAAAGGGGGGGCACTTAAAGGTGGGGTAGGTAATTCACTTCAGAAACACTTGTTATATTCCATGGAATGCTCTTAACATCCCGATAGCAATGAATACATTAAATGCTTTGACAATAAATACATAAAAAAAATTAATCTGTGGAAGCCGTGGTGCTGTACAAAGCACGACCAATCATCTGAGCCGGCTAAAGTAACTGGATGGCCTACCTGCCTGTCAGCCTTCCATCTGTGCACAAACTTATCTCGTGCCCTCATTGGTCATGTGCGCGTTCGTGTGTGTTGGAGGAGGGGCTCTGTAAGGAAGTCTGAAGGGAGGGGCAGATCTTTTTTCGGCTGCGTACTTTCAAATTCTAGCGCACTCGAGCTGGTTTCTCCGTTCTTACCTACCCTACCTTTAAGACTAACTAATGCCTCAGCACATACAATGGTCTGTCTTACTTGAAGCAGATATATCTGCACTTTTTGAGTTGCTTCTTTATGATTTATTGCACTTATTGTAAGTGACTACTCTTCCTAGTTGTTACTTGTCTCTTTCAGCAATCCCTCCATGACTTTACATCATCAATGTAAACAACCAAGAGGCTCGTTTGAAGCACTTAAAGAAACGTTCTCTCCGCAGTGACCTTTCCTTCTCCAGGATAATAACTACTCACACTTGTGCGCTCTCTCGGTTCTGCAGTAATGCCCCGGCGTTGGATGGCAGGCAGGCAGTGAATGCATCCCACGCCGCTGCAGGAGGAACATCTTGGACGGATGAATATTGTCGGAGCGGCTCCAGGTTTCAGTTTCAGAGCTCCAGAGGGGAGTTTGGGCTCAAAGTACTCCCTCCCAAAGTGCTCGCTGCACAGGTGGGAGTTGGGCGTGGCGACCCATTGGCTTCGGGTGCGCTGGACCTGCTTCTCCCATTTGCAAAACTCATCTTGGTCCTTGGGGAATTTAAAAAGCGTCACATCATCTTCTGCAGTTTTGCCGCATCCATAGGCCACACAGTGGTAAGGCATCCTGTGACGACATCAAATATGAAACAGAACACAGTCAGAGCCATGGTCAGCTGGAAGTCATTGTCGGTCTATATTATTCAGGAAACTTCCGAAGTACATTTAAAAACTTTGCACCCTTTCATTTGTATTATATATACTATTTTGTATATTCTTTCCCACTATGACTATGTATGTCATTAAGTATGGTATTCCTTCTTTATTTATTTTTTATTATTACATTATTATTATTACATTGCATTTAGCTGACGACTTACAATAAGTACAACAACATATTTCTTGTTGGCTGTTCTGTTTGTCTTCTATGTTGAAAAAGGGAAGCATGATTTCCACCCCAAAGAAGTCTGTACTATTGCTTACACTTGTATGCTTCTTCGCAATACAAATATTTGAAACGAAAAATCCTCTCTGTATCATAAAGCATAAATGAACAGTGTCAGTGGGTATGTACCATTATTCTCCTTTGACTGCCAAGGCACAC